ATCTGCAGCTTAGTGCAGGATGTGATCTCCCTCTTTACTGGTCCCAAGTCATTCTCCTCAATCAATCTGTTCAGAAATCCTTAAGAAACAGTGATCAGGGTCTCCCCACTGCTGCAGTCAGAGTACCTGGGGCTTGTGGTTTTTGTAGAAAAACCAGAAGAAATGTCTTGTTCATGCCACCCTTGATAACTACAGTGCCACTAGGGAGGATTTCCCAAGGGTATTGCACGTAGACTCAAGAAACTGTCAGTGTCCTCCTGATGTCCCAGCAGTTCCAGCATGGCAAGGCCTGAGTCTCAAAAACACCAGGAGTCTGCAGTTCACGTGCTCTGTGGGGCTTGCAGGTACTCTGCACCTCATGCTTTCAGAGGCCAAAATAGATTCTGATGTCTGCACAGAAGGGAGAGCTACAGACCTGATGTGGCATCAGGCAGGCAGAGGTGAGTCAGATATGAGCAGCAGCCGTGAGACAGGCTCTGCTGGGCACTGAGCTCTTCCTACCTTTCCTTTCCTTTCCTTTCCGTGTAGGATTTGTGATTATTGTTTGTAACCCCAGAGCTCCTCTGAAAATCCTCATCTGATTTCTCAGCAGTTCACAAGAAGTACAGAGCAACAGAAACAAAAATCTCTTCTGACCTGGCCAGGTTGCTCTCTTCCTGATGGTTCTTTGTGAACCCTGGTCTTTGCAGGCATCTCGGTGCGTGTGTTTGCCTTGATTCAAAGTCTGTGAAAGTGGGGAGGTGAGTGGGTCTGGATTTCACACGTACCCTGGTGGTGGCAGAGGGCAAAGGCTGAGGTGTAAAGAACGAGTCTGGCAGGGAAGGTATTTGGCTGTGCATTAGCAGGATTCAAGTTCTCCAGCTGTTTGATAATGTATGAAGTCAAGGGGAAAAGTGTCACAAATGCATCTGCTACTGTACCAAACTGGTATTGCTCTCCGTGAACTTTTAAAAATAAATTCCTTGTGAACTTCACCAAGTGCAGTTTTACTCTGAGGCTTTGTACGCCCGGCATACAGTGGAGCCTTGTGACTGTGCTCCTGGAGCGAATATACTTTTCTAGTAAAGCAAACCAAGTCCTAATTGTAAACCTTATAAAAGATTTTTGAACAGTCAGATTAGTCTCTTCCTTGCCTCTTCAGGTCAAGCGGGCGGGGAAAAACCAGTCAAAAGTGTTTGAGCCACTGAGTCTGACTGCCAGTGCTTGGAGGAAACCAGTCTGGGGAGGGAGAAAGCTCTTCTCATTTTCATGGATTTCTGTGTGGATCTCTGCAGATTCCTGTCCCCCAGATAAAAGTCTGCAAAGGCTTTAGTTTTCTGATGTAGCAGCTGCTGGACAATATTACCAATATTACGTTACTGGTGAAAGGGGGGCAATCAGGTGTGTTTGGAAACCCTGAAAAGGGGCTGCAGTTTGGAATTCACAGAAATGAATTTGTCTTAACTTGAAATAGAGCTTCTCCCCACCATCTCGGCATCTGCTCCCAACAGAGCTGTCTTTGGCTGTGTGTTTTGTGTCAGCAAAGGTAAGTGCTCCCTGGGAAAGAGGAGGCGTTTCTGTACGCTTTCAGCCTGTATTATGGCCATTGCGACACCGGACCTAGTGGAGAAGGAGGAGAGGTTGTAGGTCTGAAATGGTGGGATTGAGACAGGTGACTCACTTCTGAGGAAATTTCCTTTTCATGGAGCTGTAAGAAATAAATTGAAGTATGCTCATCCTGGGCAGCAGCCGTAGCTTAATTAACCGTTGTACTTTGACAATGCCTAGAAAATGCTGCTGAGATCAGGGCCTAGTCCTAGGGGCCACACTCACACTTAAGAACGCAGTGCCCAAAGGGCATACAGATCAGAAAACTCAGGCAAAAGATTTATCCCAGTTTTCAGTGTGCAGAGGGAAGGGCGGTGTCTTACCTGAGCTCACGCTGTGAATTTGCATTAAGAGCTGGAGACTGAATGCAGATCTCCAAACCAGGAGCAAAATGTTTCAGCTGCAAATCTACTTTCCCCTCATGGTAGGTCGTCCTAACCTCTCAGGTTAACAGATACTCACTCAGAGTTAACATATACCCACTGCTGGGTAAGAAGAGGTAAATCGTTCTAGTCCTGTGGATCCATTGTAGGCAGCTGCACGGGTCTGTACAATGGCAAGTGTCACATGCAGAGGAAAAATGGCAAACGCTCACGGGCTTAAAATCGTGGATGCACGTTCATTTTTGATCTTTGATGGCTCAGCAGCTATAAACCGTGGCAATGCACGGAGATTAGATTTGAATCCAAAGGTGCAGTGAATTACAGCCTGTTCATTACTAACATTTTACCTAATTATCACTTTGTACAGCCTGTCCCGGCTGAATTCACACTATCTGTAAGTAAACATAACGTGCTCTCACCCGCTTGGAAGCTGCATGAGCCTCCGTGGCCAGAGTAGTGCAGCACTAACACTGCAGCAAGCTGAGCCCAGCTAAATTGAACCCAGGAAAATTCAAGTGACAAACACTCCCGTACCTGCCAGCTCTCTCTGTCCTGTGCAGGTGGCACCTCTGTTTCCTGCCTCCCCCAGCAGTGCACACCAAAATGCACCGCAGCCATCTCCCACTCCTTGCTCCCACACACGGAAACTTGGGGTCTTACGATCTGAAAGTTAAAATAACACTCCCGCCTTTGTCACGGAAGCTTTTCTACAGATGTGGAAAATCAGCTTTCTTTTCTGTTTAGTCTACAGCACAGTGTACAACCTGCAGCCCCCGGCCCTCTGCACCCTGGGGTGTCTCCTGCGAGTGTCCCCAGGTGGTGCTACGGGACCTAATGCTGCTGATCCCACAGTCACTAGTTCAAAGAGGTGCTCCTGGCTTAAACCAACGTAGGGATCCAAGTCTGGGCAGTACCCGATTCTCGTCTTTCTCCAAATGTGAGCAGGTAGATGCTCATAAGATGTCTTTGCTGTTTCCACTGATGGAAGTACAGCATCCTGCAGACCTTCTGTTAGCAATCTCTAAGCTCTTCCCTTGGCATTTTTGAACTGTCCTATTTCATCAGCTCTCCTTATGTGATATCCTGATTCTCTTTTGCATTCAGGGTCTCTCTCAGCTTTGTCTTATCAGTAGATTTAAGGAGCTCCCTGCTGCTTTCTCCTTTGAGGTAATAATTCCCTATCTAACACTTTATACTGAGCCTTCTACGTAGCAAAATTGCAGTTAAACTCTTGAAGCCATCTGTGGTCTGGGAAAAAATGTGGTTCCGTGGTCATGTAATGATGTCAGTTGTAATTGTCTGCGAATTGATGTAGTTTAGTCTAGTGTATATTAGAGCGAATATCTCTAAAGCTTGAAGAGAGATCCTCTGTCCAGGAATCTTCCTATAATTCCATCTCTGCTGCCTGTGTTATCAACAATCAGATGGATAGAGGACACTGCTTTTTATTTAAAGTCGTAAGATCCTTTAAGTTATCTGCCTTGACACAGCAGGGGGATTTTGGTGACTGCTGGTTGAGTTAGCCAGCTTTTTCCTACAGCCAACCCAAATCAGTCTGCAAAGTGGACAAAAGGTCTTCTTTTGTACTTTGAGAGGTACAAAAGAGGTTTGACAGGATATATTTTAAAGTTGCTTTGTTCTCATGCTAAAAAAAATAAAATAGATTTTGTCTGGGTTGGAAAAATCTATATTTGGTGTAGAGAAAACTGGTGATGACAGGAGATAAACAGATGGCAAAATGCGATGGTCACAGCAGGACTGATAAATAGGCATCCGGTGGTGGTGAGTGACTTCTGGTGGCTGCAGGAAGCAGGGCTGAGTCACCCAGTCAGCCCACACGCAGAATTTCCCAAGTCACCACTCTGCTATACCCATTCCCAACACCTTCTGGGCTCCCTTTTAGCAAAGGAGACTATGCTAGTGTCTTCCCCATTTTGTATGGCCTCTACATAGTCAAAAGTAACAAAGCAAGGCGCAAGTGTGTTCTCCCTTTTCAGCGAACTCCCTGCAACCCTGAGGTCTCCTCCTGCCTCTTCAGACTTACACATCCAACTCTCAACAAGAAATTCTTGAGGTTTGCCTTGGCACTGCCTAGGAGTCCTGTGAGATGTCAATCCCTACTGCAGTATCAGAAAGGATCCGAGCGTGGTGAGCTCTCTAAAGGTCAAAAGGCTTACCAAATGGGAAAGACAGATTTTTGTTCTCTGTGCACCAGAGGAAGGAATATGCTAGTTCACAGAATTGTTTAGGTTGGAAGGGACCTCTCAAGATCCTACAATCCCAGACTGGTTTGGGTTGGAAGGGACCTCAAAGCCCATCCAGTCCCACCCCTGCCATGGGCAGGGACACCCTCCACTAGCCCAGGTTGCCCAAAGCCCCATCCAACCTGGCCTTGAACACTGCCAGGGAGCCAGGGGCAGCCACAGCTTCTCTGGGCAACCTGTGCCAGGGCCTCAGCACCCTCACAGGGAAGAAGTTCTTCCTCGGATCTCATCTCAGTCTCCCCTCCTGCAGCTTCAGGCCATTCCCCTTGGCCTGTCACTCCCTGCCTTATTGTCACTAGAGCATCTAGCCCAACCCCTCTACTCCCAACAAGATCAGCTAGAGCAGGTAACCCAGGACCACATCCAGTTGAGTTTTTAGTATCTCCATGGATGGAGACTCCACAACTTCTCTTGGCAACCTTGTTCCAGTGTCTGACCACCCGCACAGTAAAAACAAAAAAGTGGTTTCTCGTGTTCAGATAGAATTTCCTGTTTTTTAATGTGTAACTACCTCTTGTCCTGTCACAACTGTCATACCAGCATAAGGCTTTGGAAGTACCATCCTGATTGGAATTGCTGTCAGCCTTTCCCTCTTCGACCTTCTCCTGAGGTTACGCAAGGGGGGTGGCTTTACGTGCACTGGGATCTCATCCTCTCGCTGCCATTTGATTAGTCCTCTAAAAGGTAAATCCTGAACTTCATCTTTCAATCTCTCTTGATGTTAACCATGAGCCAGACTTTATGGTGATTCTCTTTGCTCTTGCAGGAAGAGCTGGCGCACGGATCGTGGGAGCAATGCAAGGTGGAGACACAGAGGAAGATGTAAGTAACCATCCCATGTGCCTGTAGAGCTTCTCTGACAGTGCTTTAGAATGACAGCCCTCTCCTCAGCTAGAGAAACACCTTTTTACCTGCTGAATCCTCGTGCCGCAGGCCTGCTTTTGCCCTCCTTTCCTCCAGCTGGCTGCTCTCTCCTCTGCATAGACACTTATTTTCCTATTTTTCTTTTGCTCTGAGAGTCTCTGTGCACTGCTCCCTGCTTTAACCTCAGCCTGTAGTGCAGAACTAGCAGCACGCAGGCTGGAGGAATGCTCTTTTGTTGAGCTGTTGGGACGGAGCGCTGGGAAGAGAGGATTGGTGCGATGGAGCAGGAGTTAGATGCGTGGATCTAAATCGCCTGCATTGCTGTAAAATCAGATTCCTTGGAGCCCTCCGAGTGGCCTGTGCTAACCCACAGCATCAGTATTCCAGCTGATGGGACGGGAATGAGAGCTGTGCCCCTTGGGATCCCAGCCTTGCAGGTAAAGCTATCCCATGGTCCTGGCTTTGCATCTGGCTACGGTTGACCTGGTGAGCGGACAGTGGCTAAACAGGAACACACAGGTTTGTACAGCAGGCGCTTGTTCTGATTGCTGTGCTCAGCCTTTGGCATCTGGGCAACTCCTTTGGCATCTGGGCAATCTTTCTGTGCCTCTGGGCACTCATAAGTGCCTGTATCTGTGTTAGGCATCCGAAGCCAGCTGCTGTGATCTGGTTTGCATCCGTACAGTAAGCTCTCCCCACTGTCCCAAAAAGGTGCTTGCATCCAAACTGCCAACCAGGAGCAGTGTGGAGCTGTCCCATTCCCCAGGTGATGCTGGAATATCGTTTTGGAGAGTGCTAGTTGGCACAGGCCTAAAGTGTGCTAGGAAATAGTGCAAACACTTAAAAACTATGATGATTGTGGACTTGTATTTGAACCTGTGCTGGCTAATAATTTCCTAGTGTAGATGTACCCTTTCTATCTCAGTGTCTAGCAGACACCTCGCCCAGTGTTGCCTGTCTGGATGGGGGGGCACACTAGGAGCTCAGACATCTTCTCTGGGCCCAGCAAGAAGCCCTGTGCTGTTGGAGGATTGTCCGTCTCTCTCAGTACTGCCCTGCCTTTCGCTGCCTTCGTGGCATAGAAATTAAGCCACTCGGGGGGGGGGGGGAAAAATTTTAATTGTGGGGTTTTTTTTTGAGAAATCCCTTCACAAAAGCCCATTACAGACACCAGACCCTGGGGGAGCAGGCTGGCTTGGATCAGGAAGCGGAGGTTAATGGAGAAGTGGTGAGCTAGCACGACTCCAGGGTCCCAAGGAGAGGATTTAAAATGGGAGGGAAGTAGATGGGAGAATGCACCTCTGCCGGACATAAGCGTAGTAGGAAACTCCTGATGTCCGCCACCACAGAGCAAGGCCACTTGCCGGGGCTGTCTGACACCGTAGCTTGGCCGTGCAAAGCTCTGGGCAGACTATTCCTCCTGCAAGCAGGGCTAGAAGAGAGAAAATACCACTGCTCTTTAGTGTTCCTTGCAGAGACCTGGGGCACTATAGTGGTAAGGGAGTTATGTCTCTTGCCAGAGGGGACGAGCTGCCCTTCTGACTGCCCGTCCTCACCTTTTCTCTAGAAAGGGATTTGCAGACCATGCTCTGCTGTTTGTTTCTGCCAGGCTGGATGTGGTTAAAGCTGTTTGTTGCCTTCTGGGGAGTGATTTATGCCCTTGGCATTCAGACCTATTTCTGGGTAGGGTCAGGAGTGCCAGTGCTGCAGGTGAAGATATTGTGACCTTAGTCACGGTGCTGCCTGATTGTCCTTGACCATGTTCTTGCCAGATTTGGATAGTCATCCTCTGCAATTTCTCTTCCCTTTGGACTTTCCTGTCGATAACTTTCTCCTGTTGGCACAGCCCCAGCATATCCAGGTGTGGAAAGCCAAGGCCTTCAGCCTCCTACAGCCCTCAACTGCAGCTACTTCAGTTGTCTCCTGGCTCTGCCCTCTTAATATACAGCATCTCAGCGGGCCCCAGGGCTGAGAGGCTTGCTTAGGGACCCTTGCAGGCACCTGTGTGTCCGAGATCAGGGAAGGAAACTAGTGAGGCTGGTTTGAACCCCTCAAAGAGTTAGTTGGGTTATGGAGTTGAGAAGAGAGCAGGCTTCAGCCTGCCCAGGAGCCAGCGGCTGTATGCCCAGCCTCTGTCACTTGCTGGTGTGGCACATGGTGCCTGAGCTGTACCTGGCTTTGCTGCCTTCTCCCCTGCTCCCATTCTGGTTACTTTCTGATTTCTTTTATGTTCTTGTATGGTGGTTTTTGTTTTTGTTTTTTCTTCCTGCTCTGCCTCTCCTGTTCTTTCCACTCTGGTTTTGCAAGGGGAGGTCTGCCCCGGCACGGCCAGGCACACGCAAGATCATCACCAAGGCACAGGTGGGTTCCTCTCCTCCAGCTGATTTTCTTCAACTGCACCTTGATTCTTTGGTCTCGCAATAGGTATCGCTTTAAAGTTAAACACGCTGCCAGGCTTTTAATGCCACAGATTCAGCAGAATCTAGGGAGTTCATTTTTGTCAGCCCTGTGAAGCGGGGAAGGAGTTTTGCAATAAATGGAATGGAGCAGCCACTGTCTAGGAAAGCGGGGAGCTGCTGGTGAAAGCCATGTGGGCCATTAGCTCCCAGAGGCAGCTGAGCTCTGGCTTTTCACTAGTTTGGAAGGCCAGCAGCACAGCAGCCTGAGCTGGAACAAAACCTCTTGTAGAATCTGCTGCTGCTCCCCAGAGCAAGTCCAAATCTGGATCCATACCAGTCCGGACAAACAGCCTTCCCCATAGCTCCCGGCGTGTGATTGCACAGAGTGCAGGGGAGGAAGCCGCTTTTGAGCTGGTAAAGATGCCTTGCCATCTGAGAGCTGAAATGGTCATGAACTGTGTTTGCTTTCCTGCAGGAGGACTCGGGGGATAGTGAGATTGACCTGGATGAAGATGAAGATGAGGAGGAGGATGATATGGAAGACGACAGCATGGAAATCTCCCCGAGTAAATCCAGTCACCGAGCAAGGAAGCCAGAGCCACTAGAGGAAAGCGATAATGACTTCTGACCGTTTAGTAGCAGGACCAGGAGGCATCTGGAAATACAAACTTTGGAGAGCATGCAGGCCGGGAGCTAATATCCTGCCATTTGAAAAGCGCTTGTCAGCATGAATTCGGGAGTCGGTAAATAATGTTCATTAAACTTGAAAATTAAACTTGGATTGCCAGTCTTGTGACTCTCAAAGCATGAGCAGTTTATCCGTAATGAGAATCACAGTAATGTGGAGTGCGGTTATTTCCATAATTGCATTAGAACTGGCCCTCATGCACTGCAGTGCCAAAAGTCGCACTCCAGTGAGCATCGTGTGCTTGATTTCCCTGCATTTTATTACGTCCAAACAGATTTTTTGGGCTTAATAAAACTGGATGAAAAGCTGCTTTGGGAACACACTTAAATTGATTTTAAATCTGCTTTAAATCTATTTACCCTAAACGTATCCTTTACTTAATCAAGGGCTTGCCTCCACAAAGAGCAACACTAAGGGAGTGGGAAACAAGTGAAGGGATCCTCAAATATCACCTTCAGTGCAGCATCTCTCAGTATTTCAGCTGTGTCAGTGGGAATTACTCTAAAACTTCAGGCACAGTGGGCTGTGCTTGAGTGTTCTGAGAGCAACCATGAGAGAGAGTAAATCTGTGTGAAATTAGCCCTTTAATTATACTGGTATTTCTGAGGTGGACTTAGATTTAAGCACTCAAATGGGCCAAAAGTTGGGCTTTTGTTTGGCAAGTTATACTGATGCCATCAGTGAAGGTGTATTCAGGTGACCGCAAAAGCTGGAGTTTGTCAAGTGTGTTGCCTCTTTTCTTCTAGCTCTGCTTTAGCATCACAATTTGTCTCCAGGGGAGCAGAAATCAGTGCCTGATTAGAAGAGTTCATTTTGGTGTGCGTTCGTCAGGGCAGACGAGAGCCCAGGCTGTTCTCCTGCCCTTCCCTTTTTGTACATCAGCAAAGTACTTTGCTTTCCCTCCGCGTCTGAAGTTGAGAGTCAGGTCCAACCCCTGTATTATTGTGCTGAAGGAAGGAATACACGTGAGTTGCTTGAAAAACCAAGAGTTTTTTCATCTCTCCGTGTCTCTGGCCCCAAGGGTGAAACCTTCACACCCAAGGCAGAGCTCAGAGCTTGAAATATCACGTTGACAGGTAAATACAGCGCAGTTTTTGTGTAGTCACGGGACATATGTGGGTGCTGCGATGTGCTGAAATGCGCCCAGTCCTACAGGCTTGAGCTGAACTGGCTGACAGGACGCTTCCTTGCACGCTGTAAAGTGAATTGGGAGAACTGGGGGGGATAAAGTGAAGGGATGAGAACATCCTGATTTTAGGACTTGTTCCAAAAAAGGTTTTTCCATGTTACTCAGGGAACTTGTTCTTGTCCTGCCTGTGTGCTGAGATATATCTGACCCATATTTCCCATGAGATTGGGCCCAGTCTCCAAGTCTGGGCTGCAGTTTCAGAGTTACAGTTTTCTATGTTATTTCCTATATTTTAGGCTGAAATGGAAAGCTGACTTAATACCTTGTGTGCACAGAACCGGAGCCTCTTCAGGCAGCACTGCCACCTAGCCTTTGGCCGGGTTTTAGGGAGCCATGCTTTGCATTGCAGCTTCTTGTATCTCGTGGATCGCGCTCTCCATTGGTGTTTCAGGTAACGTTTCAGGTAACGTTTCAGCTCAGGGTTAGGCTTTGGGCAGAGCTAGACCCGATCCTCAGTCTGCTCTGAAAAACCGGTGAAAGAGGTAGGACTTAAATCATTTGGCATCACTGTATCCTGTTGGAGAGTGTGCTGAAAAGCCGTGAGCCCTCTCGTCACACCAGTACAGGGTGTGGAGCACAGTGCACCCTGAATGTCGCATGTAACGATCCACCGCCAAGAGAGGAAGGCAATGCAAGGCATCTTCTTGGCTAGGAACCAATTTATTTCCAAGGATGTATATATCGCACAGCTCAGCCTGGCGTTTCTCCAGGGTCAGCCCACAGCGGTCCCTGAAGCAGTCACTTCTGCCCGGACTGCAGAGCAGCATGGCTCAGGGTGGGCTCTGGCTGGGGTGGAGAGGGGGCAGTGGCCCCAGGGGGCTCTGGGGGGGGTTGCACGGTTTGGCTACTGGTCCACCTGCAAACCCAGCACGTTCTGGAGAGTCGCTGGGTCTCTGCCACGCACGCGAGGACATCGCCTGGCACCTCTGCTTGCAGCAGCCGCCCGCCCTAAAGGGGACCTGCCAGGGGAGGACCCTGCCTGCAGCTGGGATGTGGGGAAGGCGCTTCCCAAGGTCACACAGCTTGTCACCGATGACAACAGCAGGAGACCCCAGCAGTCCAGCCTCTACTCAGGAGGTAGGGCTCCATGATAAGACAGTCCCGGCGTAGCACCTAGACGCGTGTCCCGGTCATTGCCCATCCTTACACAGTGCTGTTCCTCTTAGGAACACCCTCCCACTCCTCCCCTTAGCCCGAGGGCTCTTCATTTCCCAGGGTCTTTCCAGATGGTTCCACCTCCGCCTTGGGATGCCTGGCTCTTCTGAGAGGCTTTGACAGGGAACAGCACTAACAAACACTTCAGTCGCACTCGGCCAACACCAACCTGTTACTGGGGGCATGGCAAACACCCAGGTTGCCCTCGCTGCCGAGGACCCTGCCCTGGTCCAAAGCACTGCTCTCATCCGAGCAAGGAGATGGAAAAAACCTCTCGTCTCTCTGGGATGTTGAGGGGAACCTGCAGGACCAGGCTGTATGTAGCCAGGTGAGAAGGGGCTGCTGTCAATCCTGCCCGTGTTTCTCCCGGGATCCCTGCCAGAACCAGATGGAGAAGAGCTGGCGCTGTGAGCAGAGCCCTGGAGGTGCTGGGGTGCTGCAGCATTTGCCCGTGGCGACTCGTGCTGGGACAAGAGCAGAGCTCCAGGGCAGTTAGGACAATCCCAGTCTGGGGCAGGGTCTGAGCGCAGTGCTGTAACCCCTGGAGATCACAGGAGGGGGTCGCTGCCACCAGCAGGTAGGTCAGCCAGGAAAGCCAGAAGGGCTGGTGTGTGGGATCTGCCCTCTCCTCCCTCCTCTTTGCACATCACCGATTCCTTGAAGTTCTCCTAGGGCCTGGATGAGCAGGGACGTGGTCGCACATCCCCCAGCTTTCACCACTAGTGAGTCTTGACCCTCCTGCACCACTGATCCAGAGGCCCCAGGTCCTCCTGGGCTGTGCCGGGGAGCTCGGGAGCTCTCCTGGCCCCAGGTCTCCTCCCTGAGGTGGAGGGCAAAGGGCCGAGCAGCTCCCTGCAGAGGCACGCTGGCCGAAGGGACGCACCGGGCCACCGCCTCGCTGCAGCCAGGCACCCTCACACGTCCACGATGCAGTCGGGTGAGTTTGTCCGGATAGCGTCTGAGATCATCTTGGCTCCCGACTGGCCGATGCGGTTTCCCTGCAGGCTGGGAGGAATGAGAAGAGGAGTTCAGGCTTGGACATGAGGCAGAGCAGGATCCTTGGTGGGTACGAGAGATGTTCCCCAGCTTTGCACCAGCATCATCTGCACCCTCCCCACGCCATCCAAGAGCTCTTGCTGGGACCTCAGGGGACTCTGGGTTTGAGACCCCAGGGGCAGCCAGGTGAGAGGCTGGAGAAAGCCCTTGGGGAGCTGGAGGGGCTGAGCCAGCCCATCCCTGTGATATTTTGGAGAGTATTTGGCTTTTGGGGTGGTGGTTCATCATCCCCAGAGAGAAGCCGTGGGGTCTGGAGCTGCGCAGGGATGGTGGCTGTCACGCTGGGAGGAGCACAGGGTCCCCTTGCCCCCTGCCCCATTGGGGAGGTCCCCGTAGGGCAGCCGGGAGCGGGCAGTGGCACTGGTGGGGAAGGTCCGTCGGTGGTTCCCGTGGTCTCCCCCATCCCTGCCTTACTGTCCACCTCAGCAGCCACTTACTTCACGTAGGTGAGGCCATGGTTGCCCTTCAGAGCGGTGGCGATGCAGATGGCTCCGTCCATGCCCAGGGAGTTTTCCTGCAAGCTGCGGGAGACAGGATGGTCAGAAAGCACCAGCCAGGGAGATGTGGCCACCAGGAAGGGAAAGCACGGCACGGGCATTGGGAAAAGCCACCAGCTCAGGGTTTGGCCCGCTGGCCTGGCTGTCCCCTCACTGCTCCCTCCAGGAAGGTCTGGGTAGGCTCTTTCTGGGTCACCCCAGGGAGCAGGGTACTTACTTGAGCCGGCGGAGGCTGCGGTTCACCTTCAGCGCGTTGGCCATCGCCTTGGCCCCTGCCACACCGATGGAGTTTCCCCGCAAGCTGTGAGGAAAGGCAGGCGGTGAGGAAGGACAGCCCGGGACGGCCCTGCGCTCACCGTGGGCGAGAGGAGGAGGTGGGAGAGGTGTCCCCATGCCAGCGAGTCAAGACACAGGCAAGCCAGGTCTGGTAGGACACGATGTGGGGGTGGAAGTGGTGCTGAGCTAAGGACCAGGGTCTCACACACCCCTGGGGAGTGGTGTCGCAGCCATGGGGACTCGGTGGCCCCACTGAGCACTTACTCCAGGATCTTCAGGCTCTTGTTGACCATCAAGGCTTCTGCCAGGGCTTGGGCACCAGCTGCGCCAACTGAAGCTACCTGCAGGCTGTGCGAGAACAAGGACACCGTGAGGTGGCTGTGGTGTGCTAATTAGACAAGCTAATTAGACAGGCTGCGATGCCAGGGCTCTGCCGCAGCCTGAATACTCACTGGAGATCTGCCAGGCTTGTGTTGACCTTCAGCGCGGCAGAGAGGGCGGCCATTCCTTCGTCTCCGATGGCGTTCTCCTGCAAGCTAAGACACACAAGTGCTGCGTCTGCCGATGGCCCACGCACCCGGGCGCAGGGAGACGGGCAGCGAGCAGAGGGCACAGTGTGCCGCCGAGCTTTCCCAAATGGCTTGGGGAGTCCCTGGGCCACCATGCGCCTGCAGCGTCCCCAGCCAGGGACAGGCGGTAGGGACACGGGATGGACCGGAGCGCATGGAGGAGGCATCAGGCAATGCCACCTCCCCTAGAGCAGCATGAGGGCAGGGTCCTTGGGCAGGTCCCAGTAGGAAGACGCTGCCCAGGACCTGCCCACCTGTGTCCCCACTTACTCGAGGCTGTCTAGGCTGCCGTTGGACTGTAGTGCTTGTGCCAGGGCCGTGGCAGCTTTTGCCTGGATGAAATTCCACTGCAGGCTGCAAAGAGGAGAAAATGGGGGGGTGAAGCCCAGGACCGGGAGGTGACCCACGTGCAAGAGCCCGTGGGTCCATCCGGGACAGCACAGCACGCGTCCCACGGAGGGACGTCCCAGGGAAGCCGCTCTCGCAGCCGGAGGGCTGAGGCCCAGGAGCAGTGTCCCTGCCCCACGGTCACGCAAGGGGCTTCAAACCAAGCCAGGTCCGAGGGGA